CCCGAATAGCATGCAATCATCAGGCCTGCATGCATGAGAAGTGATGCGAAAACAAGCAACAGGAGGCAAGCAGTCTTGCGAAACTCTCTAACACAATCCCAGCCTTCTTCTGTCCAGGCATCCTATGGCGAGGCATGAGTCTTGCTTGCAATTTGTTCTCCATTCCCAGTCATGTGGCACCTTCGGCAGGAGCCGAGTCGATTTCTTATCATTGCGCTTGCCTTGATGTACCCGGCCTGCCGAGGGAATCTCGAGTTTGAGTTCAAGTATAAGTTTCCAGAGCAGGACTTAGTCGGCTGCGGCTAGGGAAGCCTGAGTGGATCATTTCAGCCAGTAATGTTGACTGGGGAGTGCTACGCTGACGCGGGGTGGACTCGTGGCGTTCTTGTGGTGTTTTTTTGGGTAAATCTGACATGCCAGTCAGCTGCAAAGCATCATGACCCTCACGGTCACTGGAACGAGCAATTGCGCATTGTCACGAGAAGTCCTCTTAAAGCGTCCGGTGTCAAAGCCGTAGTCCGCTGGCCAATAAACGTGGCTGCGTCAAGCATGTTTTGAGCCCCTTTGCCTCCGCATCCTTTCCCCCCCCCCCCCCCCCCCCCCACATTCGTGAGGAGGAGGACACAGAGGAGGACTCGACAAACTGTTTTCTGGACGCGACTTGCGTGCCTTGGAGTTGCTGAGAAGGCAGCCCCCAAACAACTTGTAGACATACGTACAAACGTACGCACATCTGACAATGTGAGGACCTCGAATGCAATCAGCCTCTAATCGATGGCCCGTTGCATCAAGGTGCTCTTTGAAGGCCAGGCTTTGCGAGAAGTGGTGGACTATCGCGGAGCGCATGGTGTTCGCTGGGTTATGAATGGAGTGCTGCTCGGCACGTTACGAATGGCATCTGTTACGACTTGTGATTGTTTTGGAAACGTTTGTCGGGTCGCCTCTCGGCCTCAGAGGACGTCTGATAAAACATCATGCCAGCATGATGGGTTTGGATGCTCACCTTTTGGGCAAGCTACGTATACTTGGTAGGCAAACAAATGCCGTGGTCACTTCTGTGTCTGAGGCTTGACTATCGCGGCTACTGGGCCGCTTGCTCAGCGTGGCCTAGGTGCTAGGCACCTTTCAGAATGTCTATGGCCTCTAGTTGATGCCATGACTGAGCGACACTAGCATGACGAGCCCAACAAAATCTTGTGTCAGGTTGGGCAGATTCCTATCGGAGATGCCAGTGGCGGTGCAGTGCACCACGTCGGCGGGTCCCAGAACTATGCTGCGCGGGAGACCTCGGCAGCAACTAAGCCCGATGCCGCAGCCAGAGATAACCTGCCCTTGCCACATGGCACAAGAAAGTTTAAATCCCAGTGCATGACATCATCGAATTGAGGAGGGGAGGACCGCCTGTCAGGCGGGAGATGGCTTGAGCTTACATGCATAGAGAATCATAGGCGCGTACCAGAGAGATTCTCGAGCAGCGGGCACTTTCAAGCAACGCGCTGCCAAGCTACTTGCTGCAATGCATTCCGGCCACAGTCGCCTGTCCAGCGCCAGTCGGCTGGAATTTCGATAGGTTGAGCTGGATAAGCTGCCGGCCAACGTCACGGACGTGTTCTTTGTGTTGTCCAACCATACCACCCCGACACTTGCATGAAGCTGGCACAAGTTGGCACACTTCGTCTTGTCATTCTTGCCACGACTTCATCTAGCCCACAGTAGCAGGTCTATGGGCTTATGCAGCATTGACGAGGGTGGCTTGAAACATTGAAGCCGTGTTGCTGAGGGTTGGTGCCTTCAGCGGGGTGTCTCTCCAGGTCAAGGCAGGGACCTGTCAAAGTCGGCATGCAGTCTGGTGGCCGCCGCAAGCATGTCTGAGAGCAGCACCTCGCTGCGTTAGCATGCTTAGCATGCCTGGCTACCAGTTTGATTCGTGGTTGGTGGAAACGTGGTTTTTGCTCAGCACGAACCCTGTTGCGCTCAGAGCTCGGGTCTGAAATCTGGCAATGCCTAACCCTGAAATGGAGGGCGGGGTCAGTCAGAAGCCAGCAAGTGGACACTGACATCTGTCAGCAAGGGAACCGAAGAAGGCTCGCAACGTGGCAAGCCCCAAATGAGGAAGCGGTAGTAGGAGCGGCCTGAATCCCTACAAGCGGCTGAGAGTTCCCAAAGCCCTATGGGGCCTTAGGGGGGCGACAACTGGGTCTGAGACTCCATTCAAGAGTCTCGAGTTGTACAGTGTGTCAGGAAACCTGTCACGAGAACTTACGCGATGTACAACAGTCGCTACTATTTGGAGTCTTCGAAAAACTACAACTACAAGCGAGCAGAGTAGAACAACCAAGAGCGCTTTGCCGGCCCTTCGAATGCGCACGCAGCCCTGCCCAAAAGGATGTCAACCATCCGGGACATGATGTGACGGGGGTGTTTGACCTGGCTGCTTCGGCACCTGCCTCAGTTGTCGTGACGCGCGATCGGCCATGGCTTCCTCTGCTATTGTCCCACATTCTGCGAGGATCCCAAGGAGTCAGCTCTGGTCGCCTGTCGCTGCAGCCGAGCTCCTGCCCTGGAGACTGGCTTGCGCGAAGACACCTGGACATTGGACATCATGAGCATCTCCTGCGGTGGTCATGCAAGGGCCTCGGAACCCCGCCATGGAACAACGCATGATGGCTTTTGAGCATCTGCAGCAAGACTGGGCCAGGCCATGGACTATCGTCCTGCCCTGCAGCATCTCGGCTAGAATGGCTTCGCTCTTCTGGGGACTCCAGATTTCTTCGTCAAGAAGCGTTTGTTTCAATCTGCTTCGTGTGCCTTCTCCGAGGAGCATCTACGCGGCCCAGGCAGCGATCCGCAACAACAGGCTGGCTCCCACGAGCGTTAGTGGGGTGGGGCAGTGATGTGTTTCCTTCTGCCGGCCTTATGACTGATGTAAGGCAAACCATCACGAAGTTGATTGCCCCTGAATGTTGTCAGGGGGCGCTTTCTGCCACCAACGAGTCCACGCCCTCTTCGGCGTGGTTGAATTCTCTAGAACACCATATAACGGCCAGCCGACATGCCTGGAATGCCAAACAATAACAAACCCCTTCAGGATCTTTCAAAACAAGAAACAAGATCGCTCCCAACATCGCCTCGCCCACTCAGATCGGTGCAGTGGCCTTGCCGCGGCGGGAGCTCGCCGCGAGGGGCGCTGCAGGAACGGCAGGGCAAGTGAGTGAGGGAAGCTCTACGAAGCTCAGAGCTGAACCCTCTCCCCACCGTCTTTTTCGAAGAGATATCGTTCAATTGCCTGAATCGAGTGAAGTCCTGGAGGACAAGCCGTACGCTTTGCCCTCAATCAGGCGGAGGCCCGGCGCCGGGTAAAGCAGGTTTCGCTGTAGATATCTGTAGAGCATATGGCGAGAAGTGTCGCGATGATTCAGTTCCGGTGTCAGGACTGAAAAGCATGCGCATGCGTGCGCCCATGAATGTAAGCTAGCAGCTACTGTCATAAGAGTGGCCACGTCTAGCGCCAGCCCAAGCAGAACACGGCAAAGTCGCTTGTCATGGTCCGAACATCGACCGAGGCCTATGGACGAGCTGGCTATGGTGGGAGTGAACTCCGAGCTTCCCCAAGGCTTGTTAGAAGATGTCAGAAGCAGAGCCGGATGATTGGAAAGAAGAACATTAGGAGGCACTCGTGATAAAACTCCTCAGTGAAGCACGTCGCGGAGTGTAGGTGGAATGCTGCTGAGATCGCCTGAGCTAAGCTGGCCCGCGCAGGACTAGCAAGGAATCGGACACCTTCCCGAGATGAGCCGTTGCCGTGCTTCGGCTTTTGCTCACAAGCTGACAAGTCAATTTGTTGGCCCAAAAACCAGGGGGGGATGACATGCACGCACTTCCAAGGATATTGTCGGCGAGGCCGGACACCTCCCTGCAACCGTGCTCTCCGGGCATTCGCCCTTTGTGAGGTTTTGGACAGGTAATAGCCGGCACATGAAGCGCAAAAGTGCAAAGCTCCGAAGCGAATGCCATCCAATCCTGTGCCGACGGGAGGAAACCGCAAGCCGATGCGGCGACTTTGCAACAAGAACTTGCGTTGCAGAGGTTAGGCTGCTTCGTGCCGGGCTTTGTGGGTTCGGATTGGTTCGCTACCTGTGTTGCACATGCCAAGGTAATACATACCGAGGCCACACTGACACATGAATTCTGCATGTTGACGAGCTATCTCTCCCATCATAGATGATCATAGATGTGCTCGTCCCGATCCGCCCAACAAAGGCAGCTGCACCAAGCACTGGCTACGCCAAGCAGGGCAGCCCACCAGAAGGAGATCCTCAAAAAATGAGTGCCTCGACAGAATTTGGGCAGCTGTGTCCTGCAGAGCTCTAAAACTTCTTGACGCTTCCAGCTGCAATGTTGAGCATCTCGACGTTGCTCTGTGTGCGTTTCTTGGCTATGATGGAGATGCCGAAGCGCTGAGGTCTGACACCATTGCCGCCCCTGGATTCACCGAAGCCCTTAGCCAGCGCCCGCTGAGGTCAGGTGAAGTCTTAAATAGCACGGTCAGTGGTATGTTCTTGTTGGGATATTTGGGGTCCGCGGTCCTGGCTGGTTCCAAACGTGGGCAGAAAAGAAGTTGCAAGAGTAGATGCTAAAAGCATCGAGTCATCGCATCCAGAGATGAACCATGTACCCGTTTCACTGTCTACAGGTCGGATTTTGCGGAACTCCGAAGGGGTATTTCTTCTTGTACAGAACCGAAGTGCCGCCACTTCGCCTTTCAACTCATCCGTTTCCAATAGTTCTTCAATGCTCTTCAATTGTTCTCGCAATTGGTTCACCAGCAGCCGGGCGCACCACGATGAAAACAAAGAAAGGGTCGAATGCACCGGACGTGTCATGGCAGGCTCTCCGCATGCCTCGATGGCATGCTGTCATTTGAGTCATGAACCATGTCTCACAGCAGCAAACCATAGCCAGCGCGGAATCTGCTCAAAACCCCAGCAAGTGCCTCACAGGTTCTTGAAGCTCGAGTACGTCTTCAGGAGGCGCGTCAGTAGAGTAGGCTTCCTCTCTGCGGCACTTCTGCGACATGTCAACACAGTTGTGTTGTTGAGAAGCGCAGAGCTCCCAGCGGATCGTGCAGTTTGGAGCTGGCATGTCATGGTGGCGCATTGAGACTCTGCCGAAGGTGGTGGGCACAGGCCGCCGGCTTTGCTACATTGCTTGTGCAAAGCTGCAATGTCCAGAGCTCAGCCTGCAAAACGTCTAGGGTTTGGATATGTTGATATGTTTGGGCCCCAAGATCCCAGTCCAGCCTCAACGTGTCATGCTCTCAGCTCTCTGATGCTTGTTGAGGCTCTGACCTCACGGGAGCCCAGTCCGTTCTGGAGGACGCATCTGGAACGGAAAGCCTTCACAAAACCCGTAGAGTCTTTCCAGACAAGGGGGGTAAAGTTTGGCCAGGTGTGACCATCGGGTACAAACTGTGCGCAAAACTTTTCTGCGGCTTGGAGAGGAAGTGGATCAGCTTCCTGGATTCTCTGCTGCAGTCGGAGGCAGCCCCGATTGGAACATGGTTGGCCATGTTGGCCCATGGTTCGCAGCTGAAGAAGCAGTTATGAACCCAACAACCTTGCGCCCTCCGCCCTGCTCAGACCTTTGGCAGTCGCTTCCGCGGCGGCTGCGTCTGTGCGAATCCTGCAATGTGGTCGGCTTTCTTGAGGATGCTGCCTTAGATGGGATGACGCTGGCAGATGTCAAGATAATGGCCCGAGTTCAAGCACCCGCGAAGATAGCGAAGCACACGTGCCGAGCCTGTTTCAGTTGCACCATGCTTTGTCAAGGTGTACATCCAGACCCGAGGGTTCAAGAGATTCTTGGAGACAGGCGAGTTGCTCGCCGAGGCCCGGGACATTCAAGTCCGCAGTGTGAGTTCACAGAATCTCCACCCCAAAATGCTCCCCGTTGCTCCCGCATCCTGACACACACACACACACACACAAAGAGCATGTCTCGGAATCCCTTGGAGCGACTGGAGGTGCCACCAATCTGGCAGACGGGCATCCCAGAGTTTGACAACGAGCACAGCTCTCGGTGTGGGAGAGGATTGCGAGGCTGAGCATTTTTCTTCAACCATATTCAACCTTTGTCGAGATGCTACTTGCTGGGCACCATCAGCAGCCTGAGGGAACTGGAAAGGCGCCCCCGCATCTTCACAAAACGGGCGACATCTGGTCACAACACTTGGCTGAGCTGACTGAGTTTAACTGAGTTTGAGTTGCCATTCTTCGGGCGCCTTTGGATGTGAACAGGTATGCCGTGAATCGCGGCCAGGCCGGTCGGCACACTCAACAGCCAAGTCAACATTCCTGAACAGCCAGCCAGCACACAAATACTCGGGTATGGGCAAGGCCCCGTGAGACCGGAACCCTGAACGAAGAGCCAGTAGAACAGCACGAAGCACAGCGGAGATCCAATTCTCTGCAAAAGCGCGAACCCCTGGTGCCCCCTGGGCCCTTGGTCCCCCCCAGGCTTTGGACCTTTCTTCGGTACAGTTCTGCCTGAAGCTGGCGCAGACTCTGGAAGAGGCGCGCCCCTTTCGCCCCTTGCGAGGCTTCTCTTCTTTGCTGTGTTAGTGTGCTATGTGGGCATCCCAGGAAGCAGGGCTTGTGCATTGTGAAAGTACAACACACCAATAATCTTCTTTGATTCATGATGAAGGGGCATGCAGCACCCAATGACAGAGGGTCCTGTTGGCTCTCTTTTGCTGAATCTCTTGGACGTCTGCAGGCATTGATGCAGTTCAACTTTCGGAACAGCGCTTTGCGAGTCCGCACTGGCCTCAGCCTCTGAGCCAGGCTTCGGCCCGGCCTCCTGCACGAGTTTAGTTTAGAGGAAGCCCCAACCCTTACGATGCCTAGTGTGAACGGCTTTCTTGCAGATGCCGTTTGAGGGGAATGTGGGCTTGGTGCAACCCTGAAGGCTTCGACGGAGTGAAGTACGCTGTCAAGAAGTCCAGCACCTGACAGAAGAGCTGAATCCTGAAGGAACGCAAACAAGAATCGTCTCCCAGTCTGAGAAAAACCAAAGGTTGGAGTCTTTGGTCTACGAGATCGACATGGCAAGGCCCATGGCATGAAGCTGGAACAGGTTAACATGGTTCAGTTCTGTTCAAGTGGCTGGACACAGGGTTCCAGAGCATGCCCAACAAGTGGCAGGCAGAGAGATCCGTCAGCCATCATTGACGAAGAGCCGCTTGACAGAGGAATGCAGTCGCTGTGAAAAAACAACAACTGATGTTCGGTAATTAACCTGAATGTCGCTCTCCGGCGCATTCTTGACCTCACAATGTGTCACATGGATCACAGGACAGCTGCCGACTTGGCTGAATAGACCTTAGAAGGCGTGGGGCGTGCAATTAAAGCACCAGGCAGAAGCGAGTTGCGCATACCTCCTCCGAAAAAGAAATCTCAAGAGCTGTCAGAGTCACCACGCCTTGCCTACGACCCCTTGGACATGTGATTTGGAAACAGAAGTTAAGAGAGTTTTCACTACATGGAACCTTTGCCAATCTTCAGGTTCAAGCCCAAAGACTCACACTGCAAAGCTCCCTGGCTCCGCCGGAGAAAGAAGAGATAAAAATGGAACCTCCGCCCCCCGACTCCCGACCCTCCCGCCGCGACCCCCTCCCCCCCGCCCCCCCCCCCCCCCCCCCCCCCCGCGCCCCCCCCCCCCACGGGACCCCCCAGGCTAGGGCATTTCATAATGTGGCAATGTAATTGCCTGTCAGTCAACTCTCAGACTCGAGCGTTAAAACCTTGACTTGTGAATCTGTGTCTTTCGGAATGTGCTGCGTTTTGCCCTGTGTCTGGGGTGTGCTGCATGCTGGGGTCTTTGGTCGATGCGTATGTGTCTCTTGCACGCTTACTGTCTGAAGACGTTGCGGGGTGGGGCTGGCGGCCGGGGGCCGACGTGCGGGAAAGAAAACGCTTCCGAAGCGGTAATGAGCTTTGTTTTCAGTCAATGGCTTGCAGGTTAGGGCTTCGCCCGCAAGCCCACAGGGCTTGCTTTAAGAATCCGTGCGTCACGATTCAGACAAGACGCTGACCGCTACCAACCGCAAAGGTACAAGCTTGAATCCGAATTCTGCTGTCGATAAACCAGCATGCCACCATACCTCAGGCGCAAAACCAAAACCCAAATCGCCTTCAAGCAGCTGCCCTGAAAGATACTGCGCGGGCACTTCGTAAGGCCCCCCCTCTCCCAGGCAGCCATTCGAAAGCAAGAAAGAAAGAAAGAAAGGTCGCTTGGTGGGGCTTGCGTTTTCCTCAAGGCAAGTTGAGGTTGAGCGTGCCCCTGGCCCGGGCAATTGAAATTCTTTAAATCTTTCCAGTCGGCGACCAGAAGGTTGCCAAACAGGCCGAGAACTCCACAGAAAAACGACGTGCCAGGTTGCCCGGCTGCTCTTACTGCGTCTTCCTGCGCGTGTCATGCGCCGTGAGTAAACATGACTCGGGTGCATTTGAGGAATGTGCCCGCTGGTGAAGTCGTGTTGGCCTCGGATCCCGCAGTTTGACTACAAAGCAGATAACGAACCAGCAATGCCGGAACTTGCCGGCCGAGAGACTGAAGAAATCCATGGGGCTGCATCCAGTTCTGTGCCATGCCAAGGCCACCGACGATGCCCCGCCTGCGCTAGATTTGGAGAGCATTGGCGCAGGTGCCTCTGAGTAGGCAGGTGGACGCACTACAGGGTGACGTGCGCAGCAAGGAAGCGCAACGTAAAACGACCGGAACCGAGGCCATCAAGCTCACATATGACGACTTCGACGAGCGTCGAGAGCAGGCCTTGGGAGTATGAATCATGTTCACAGGCATTCGTCCATCTGTGTGGGAGCGAAACAATAGGCGTTCGCGGGCAGCATAGGTGCCATGCAGGTTATGAAACAGTCTCGCGATGTTGTCAAGGCAGCAAAGCGGCTTGTTCGCAAATGCATGTAGCTTGATTCGGCTGGGAGAAATAACGGGGATCGGACGTCCATGGATGGCAATCGCACAAGGAATGCCATCTATGCACTGCATCGCCAGAGCCTTAGCTTAGAAGCCGTCGTGCAAAGATACAATCTTAAGATCGGGGGCACGCGATTTCAGGTTCCGATAAGCAGCGGGTCTTGGCCTGAGGGTTTACTCGTCGTATCTCCGTTTTCTCGAATCCGAATCCGAATGAAGGTTCTCTGGCATTCCACCCAGGCGGATGAGCAGCTGAAGCTTTGCGCAGAGAAGGTGCGTGACATTGCTCGATGCACAATGCATCATGAGTCTGCAAAAACAAGCACGAAGGACAACGACTAACGATGGGAAGCATAGGAATAAGAAGTGGTTGACTTTGGGAGGATGACGAAGACACAAGCATAAGATGCGCTTGTCTTCATTTAACTGCACGAGACTGCATGTGTGCGAGAGCATGCAACAGGTGCGACCCCAGCTTCTGCACTTCGTGCAAAACGTGATAATTTTTCTATAGTTTCTGAAGGAGAGTTGGCTTTGCAAGAGGCTTCTTCGTGCGCTTGAACAAGCAGAGGCCAACAGCATCCACGCTTCGTTTGCCGCTCTCTCGCCCACGCTGAGTTTTGCCCTCAGCCCTGCGCAGCTGTTGACTGCGAATCCGAGATGTGGTCCGTCTTGTCATGCCTCGTCACTACTCACAGTTTCGCTGGAATGTTTCTTGGCCTGGTAAAGAACTGAGGGCTGGGCTTTTTCAGCGGTGCCTTGGAGGAGCTCGCAGAGGCCGATGTTTCACATCGGCTTCGTTCTATGAACTTGAGGAATCTTAAGGCACCTTCGCAGTGACGTGACGGTCGCAGGCTCTTGCTTATCGAGCCTTCCGCCGAACACCCAGCTGCAGCACTGCCAGAGTGGCAATATAGCACTTCTTCATGCTCACATGGTCGTGCTTGGACTGAGCAGGCTAAGCCTAAGCCGGATTCGGTAAATCATTCTGACATCAAGCGCTCTTCAGCTAGCTGATTGTGGGAGGGTTGGACGGCAAGCTGCTGAGCGTGGAGGAAATGCAGGCGCATCTCCCGTGGGCTGACGCCAAGTGTGCCAAAGAGCTTGCATTTTCGACCCACACCTTGTGTGTTTGTTTTAAGATGATCTGGATCAAGGAGGCCAGCGGGCTGCATTTCCCAATGCTCCTTGCCGAGTACCTGGGCGGCCTCATGGACCTAACAGGAGCGACCGTGGGAGTGAGAGGACGAGATCCTTGGTCACTTTTGGAGTGCCAGTGTCCTGTGTCACTGGCTCCGTGTAGGCCAAGCCACATCTGGCAGCAAGTCTACAGAAACAACTTCAGTTTGTTATTTGACAAGGCATGAGGGAGGAATCACGGACTCCCATATACAGGGCCGCAGGGAGCAGCACAGCAGTGTAGCACATAAGACAAGGATGGAAACTCATCTGGGCACCACCCATAGCCTAGCAGGGCCTACCAGCACACCGCAACTCACCACTTCACCATTCCCATGGGTCGAGACGCGAACCGTGGGCAGTCACGATGGTTTATCAAGGAGAAGAGTTTGGACGAACAGGCAGCTCGGAAAGACCCAGCTAATGATTCCAGTTGCTCCAAGGTCGCGACGCAAGAGTCAGAGCTTACAGATCATTGGTCTGCTTGTCGGGACTGAAGGAACGTTAGCCCCCTCTTAGGGCCCAACTTCCCTTTGAAACGGGAACAGCCAAGGTCAAAGCCTGCAGGAAGTCCTTGGAGTCGGCCGAGCGGTCTGGCCGAAGAAACATTGCTGATGCCTTGCGAGCGAAGCTGCAGCTCTTGACTGGCACCCAAGCAACTCACACCGAAACCCAAACCCGGAACCCAAGCCGGAAACCTCCAAAGGCACAGAAGCAATCGGCCACACTGAACCCGGAGGTCACGGAGGTCGCAGAGGTCACGGAGGTCACGGAGCCAAGCAGGGGCTTCCCGCCAAAACCCCTGCGCAAGAAAAGAAAGCGGGAAGCACCGAGCCGTGCGTCCGCGACGATGTCAAAGACAGTCCCACGGCTTGCGGAACCTGAGGCCATAGAAGGTCGCGTGGAAGAATCCGCAAAACCCCCAGGGGTTGCGTCAAGGCCTTCCAAAGCCAGGACGAAATCTGCCAGAGTCGCAACACGTAAGGGGTCGAAGAAAGCCACCCTTGACAGCGCAAGTTCTCCCGACGCGCAGCAAGCCGCTGTGGATATACTGATGAAGGCCGCTGCAAAGGCCCGCGCTCTAAGACAAGCTGCGGGGGAAGAGTCTGAAGAAGAGGCGCCGCTACCTGACCTGCCACCGGTCAGAACAGGACTGGGCGAGGATAGTGGTCAGGCTACGAATGATCCCGTGCATTCGGTCCGTTTATCGCACATGGACTTTGATAGCGAGGAGGACAAGGAGGACATGGGCAGCGATACTGAGCTGGCGATGAGAAAGCAAGGTGCTCCCAACCTTGGACAAGACGAGCATCAACACAAGCAGGGACAGGAGAACGGTGAGGAGGAAGATGACGACTTTTTCGATCTTGAGCAGGAAGAACGCCCTGTGCTGCCGCCGGACTCTGGTTTGCGTTGGCAGCTATTCTCTTTCCAGCGGCCGTTTTAGAATCTGGAAGGTTTCATTGGTCCACTCCCCACTCTCCGCTATCCGACTGTAGAGCCCCATGTTTTCGACCGTTGTCGGTAGCCTCAACCTGCGAAGGTTCTCCGTGAGGCTGCGACAGACGCAGCGCTGTCCGGACGAGGAGCGCGCCTCCTGCTCAGCACAAGCTTCTGCACAGCAACAGAGCAGCCCACGCAAGGAGCACGCAAAAGAGAGAAGAAGGTCCGCCGCAGAGAGCGCCTGGAGCGCATCCGCACCTCGGATGCGTTTGGAGCAAAGCAGAGGTCAAAGAACCTTCAAAGAACCTATAGGTGAATGCAGCATAATGCAGTAAAATGCAGTTTTATGCAGTATAATGCAGTAGATGCCCACAAAGGCCAACAGAAGCTGGAGCCGCACCCCTCGTGGCAAGCGTCCAAATCTCTGCAGATCAGAGGGGCCATCGTGACCGCACAGGGCACCCATACCAGCTTCGATGACTGACTGACGGCATCCAGTGAGAATCTAGTGGTCCAGGGACTCCGAGCTCCCAGTCGCTCCGTGCACCTGCAACCTGCACCTGAGCTGCTTAAGACGAAGGCGGAAGAGCGACAGCGACATAGATTGCCGGCAATTGCCGTGCATGTATAAGTCCATGGCAAACCCTCTGAGCTCTCCCGGATTGGGTTTAGTGCGGAAAGTTCCGACAAAGAGGCTTGCGGTGCCAAGAAGTGTCCTAGATTCGAGTCTGTAGGAACAAACGCAGGATGGCACAGGTATTTAGACCAGAATCAGCCAGAACAGGCCTGGAAACGCTTCGCAACTTCAGCTTCAATATCTTCCATGTGTGTAGTCCGACCAGCGCAGGGACGGCAATGGGAAGATGTTCCGTTCAAAATTCAGGTTGCAACCGCATCTGTACTTTAACCTCGCCAAAACTAAGCCAAAGCTTTGGCTGTAACCCGAACTTTCGGCCTGCATTCCAGCAGATTCCGGAGGGTACTGCATGTAGGTGTTTCAAGTGGGTCTTCTAAGAAAGGCTCACCCACTTGTAGGAAGCAAGCCTAAGCCAATACCTCTGCGTCCAATCCAGCGCAGGAGAGGTTGGTCGGCTGGCTATTCGGACGGCAAGTGTGAGGCTTACCCTATTTTTAACGGCTATCAGTCGCTACCTTTGCGAAATGAAGTGCTCAAAAGCTCGTAGCAACGTTCAGCGAAGCTCGCGCGAAGTCTGAGTAGCCACCTGAGGCCGAGGTCGGCGAGGGCAGGCCTAGCCGCATGTAACCAACCACTATCTGTGCACAATGTGACTGGCAGGATGTCATCAAAGACTGCTTGGCCTGCGTGCAGGTACCAGGGTTGCTCCCGTCACTTCCTAGGTTAGGGTTTGCCATGGTTTGCATTTTTGCTTGAGGCCATTTACGACGGAGTTTCCCTTCTCCCTTTTCTGCCGGAACCGAAGGTTCTAGTGACAAGATCCACAGAGTGCCTTGATCCGAACCCAGTCATGCCACAAAGCATGGCGCACGTGAGGCCGGGCAGCCTGGGGAAGAAGATCAGTCCCTTAAAAAGCACATTGGGCAAAATTGAGCAGGCTGGAAATCTCAGTCCGGAAATGGTAAGTGTACGAAACGTATGGTTTGTCTGGAACATTCTGGAACAGGTGCTCTATGAGCTGGCCTTGCTCTCTCAAGGCACTATGTTTCAAGATGTGTCAAGGTTCAAGCGGACTGAGTAACAGAATCCTGCAGTGTCGCTGCGGAGGTGTCTCCTTGAGACCAAGTGACGATGTTGACGAAGGATCGGGGTAAACCCGGACACCCACGACGTCGGAGAGTCAGGCCTGCTTTTTGGGCGGTGCGGTTGCGACAGTGCATCGTATGTCGATTGTTGACGAGTTGTCGGCGTGGGTGGGGTGCCGTTGCCTCGCGTATGCACGGCAGCCTGTTCGGCCAGGAGTGCGGCGCCGTATCTGGCAGAACAGATCACCCAAAGCATGGCACAAGGAAAGCCAGCATGCACGTCGCCATGAGGATGCTGGCATGGGCTTGGTCTCGATAAGCATGATCTGCAGGTTTCATGGCGCTTGGGGTGCACTGGTGACACCTTAAATTTGGCTCCGAAAGCTATGTGTCACCCCCACATTTGTTGACATCTAACCTGCAGTTTGCCTTTCATACCCATTTCCTGGACTTGTTGCCGCGATATGAATGGCTGAATGTCTATGACCATTGTAGAATTTTGTCCAATATTTTCCTTTGTTGCGACCGGAGAGTGTTCAACCTCCATCCGCCTCGATCAGCCTTCGTATCGTCCGTCCCTTTTCGTTGCGTGATCATTGGTGCATGCAAGTTTGTTGCTAGGCAGAGACTGCATGATGATATACAAACCAGGACCAATGCCAATGATTCACATCATAGGTCTTTGCCAGTTGTCTCTGCGTTCGATATATTAATGATTGTATGTCTTTTTTCCTTCAGTTCGCGACAAAGCATCAGGCTTGCATATCCCAGACGGCGTGCTTGGGCTTAGGGATCTAGGGCGTGAGCTCAGTTTACGAACCACTACTACAGATTGATATAGTATGAATTTCAGATTCTTGCGCACGAGCATCCGGCCACAGTCCGCTTTCAGCCCGCCTTTGGGCCCACTTGTGGCACGGCACTCTCTGACAGTCCCTGAGCCCCCGAGCCCTGTTGGCGCGGTTCTGGCCGAAAATGAATAAGGAGGCCTTCGAGTTGGAAGTCTCCAAGTCAGCTTCTGCTCCGAGACCAGACTCCTCCGGGGCTCGGAAAGAATGTGCCTTTTATTCTGGGGAACCCAATGCTTGAGCAGAGCGAAGAGCCACGGCGCGAATCGACTCTTTCCAAGGGGTGTTGTCATGGCCAGGGTCTCGACAGGCCTTGTGAAATCTAAAACCCTGAGCCTTCTGACTCCTGCGTCCCACTGGTCACAGGAGAGCCACGCGAGAAATGTCTACTGCGAGGCCCGCCGCCCAGTGAGGTCCAGAGCTTGCGGTTTCAAGGTTTAGGATATCATGGGCTTCTTAGGCACCTGAATGCAAACGGATATCATGGGATATCCGTGGGTTTCAGCCGAGAGCTTTCCCGAGTTGCCCGTGTTAAAGCCTCTTCATGTTGAATCATTTCCACTGTTCCGAGCTAAATCTTGCCGCTCTACATCGTAGGGCGCAGAAGAAGCACGTGACTCATCGTGACTCCAGAGCTGAGTTTAGTCAGCGCATGAATGCGGTGAAAGGTATTCCGACACCAAACTGCGCTGCGCTGCTTGTAGAACTCTTGTAGAACTCGCAGGGCCCCAAAAGTGCAACTTGCTGGGGCTCAAGAGGCTCAAGACCTTTGCTGTCGACAGTCAACACCTGTCTTCGCCCTGTTTCGCAAACAATGAAGCTGCTGACGGCGTTCCTTTTCTCGTCAGCGCTGGCAGCGGTACGTGCCACCAAGTTCCGATCGGAGGCTGCGCTTTCCGGAGAAGAGGACCCAAACTCTTGGCCGCAGCTGCACATGCCACGGTGGTTCTCAGATATTCTCAGCCAAAAGCAAAGGGTCTGCAAAGGCATGTCCGTACTATGGGGCTGGGGTGGCGGGGAGGGGGAGGGTGCGCACTGCACTCATCAGTATTAAATCACTTGCAGTTGATAGGCGAGACAGTAAAACGCAACTAACACGAGCAGCAAAGAGAAGACCAGTTGTACAAGACCGCGAAGTGGATCAGCGAGTCATTAGCGGATGAGTTAATGAACAAGCAATTCACTCGCTTCACATCAGTCACACGTTATTGCACAGCATCTAGGGCCCGCGAACCGACATGCTGTCATGTGCAGCGTTTGTAGTGGCTGACAGAACAGCCAGAGGTGCTGTAAATCACAGCTTTGGAGCCCGTGAACAATGAGAAATGAATGCACCTGTAACAACCAGAGAAATGCCATAATTCAACACGTTTGGAGCCCGTGAATGCTTTAATCTACACTTGTGTGCATTCAGAAATACAATGTTTCGCACCATGTTGAGCCCGAGAACAGTGAGGATGCTTCAATTATCATAGTGTGCACGTTCAGAAGTGATGGATCAACAGCCAAAACTGCTGTAATTCATAGCATTTGGAGCCGATGAGCAGTTACAAAGCATTACTTGGTAGTCAGAGCACGTGGAGCCCGCCCAGTGGTCCGTCCGCCCGAAGGTCCGTCTGCAACCCCCGCGCTTGTTTCAGTGGTGCATGCAAGCTTGCGTCAAGGAGCATCATGCCATCAAGAGGATTGATTTACCCAGATGAGTTCTTTCCAAACCCAAAATGCAAGCACGGTGTTTGCAAATGGGTGGGGGGGGGGGGGACGCCCCTCCCCCGAATCCGGCTGTGGTTTAAAGCTGCGCGGCGTGCTTTGAGGAACAATTCATCAAGGGGATTTGTTTCGGAAGGCCCCCAAAAGGCACCGGAAGAACACTGGAGCCGATGAGCAATCATCTGAATCCAGTGGACAGCACGAAATTGTACACAAGTTTCAAACCTGTGCGCATTCAGAAATCATGCATTTGGAGTGAATTGTGGAGCCGTAAACAATCAGACGTTCAGGAAATGCAACGATTCACATTAGAAATGTTTGTCAACGGCATTTGTGCGCGTTCAGAAATGCTGTGACTTGCCGTGTTTGTCGTGGATGAACAGGCAGAGACGCCGTAATTCATACCAATATTGGAGCCGATCAGAAATATTGCGATCAGCAGCATTTGGAGCTCGTGAACAGCAGGAAATGCGTTTTTGCAGTCTTTGGCTGCAAATTGCATCGTTTGAGGTGGGTGAGCAACCAGAAATGCTGAGCTTCACAGCGTTTGGATTCGGTGAATATTTAAGTGAAGCAGCTCACAGCATTTAAAACACGCCCAGCCCGACTGACCCAGTCCGTTCGTCCTCCCGCCTCCCGTGACGTCCTCGTCGGGCTTGCCGTTATGTTTCGGGCGCAAAGTCATGCCTCGTCTCGACGCCCGTCCCGGTCCGTCCCAGACAACGAAAATCGACAACCGGACATCGCAAAACTCGTCTGATGTTTTGATGTTATGGTGTTTTTGTCGGTGTCCGAAGGTGCTATCCCGACCGCAAAGCACAGCATGCTTGCAGCTACGTATCCCTGATCACATAACACTTCATTCATCCATCTCGTGCATCGGTTCTCCTCTTTCCAATAATCTCTACACCCTACACCTTAGGTTGGGTGTGCCATCTACATACGTGTGTGTGTGCACTCAGACCTACTAATAGCAAAGGTTTTTCAAGAATCTAACGCCAGCAGGGCGTGGCCCTCACTCGCCGACCATGCCCAAGGAAGCTAAGTGAGTGAGTGGGAGATCCACAGGGACGCCTGTAGATGCACGCATTTGTGTGTGTGTTTACACCCAGAAATCTACGACTGGAGACTGCGGCATGGAACGAACATCTCAGCATCTGCAAATCTATCCGAAGTTGTTTGGCCGCAATTTCATGGCGTTTGCCCCGTGCCTCGGCTCAGTTGCCATGTGCGATAGTCCAACGAAGCGGCCATAGCTACTGCGGATATCAGGGCTGATCACCCTGACATACTGCCGCGAAGGAGATAGTGTCTGTGCATCTTAGATCATGCACAGCGAGGATCATCACACCCTCTTTATTACTGATTTTTAGTGCTCGTGTGACAGTCGCAACAAAGAGTCGTTGGGCCTTGGTCTGCTTTTCTTATGTGATGCCACTCGACTTGCATTTTATGTGACTTGCGCAGCAATAAATAAGTGGGCCTCGAGATGCTTTAAGTTCATTGAAGCAGAAAATGTTGACTTTGACTTGAAAGTGTGTGTGTGTCTCTCGCAAAGTACGAGCCCGAAGCCTACTCCAGGAGCTCATCAGCAATTTGAGCTACACCCCACGCATCGAGTACATCGGCGATCTGAACGATCCGAACAAGCATCCCTATGTCTATGCCAGCAGAGACGATGCAAACACAGCTTGTCAATCAGCTGGCTATCAAGGACTTTGCACAAAAGCACAGATCTCCGGATTCGAGAGATGTGCTGCCGGCTGGCTGTGGGACTTCAAAGGATACTGGATGCGCAACGCCCGAAAGGGTTGTGGCAGTGGCACCGGGTACCAAACATGGGGTAACGGTAAAGTTGGCGCCTATTGCTGCCATGCCAAGTCGGAGATCGACTACATCGGGTCCCTGACCGACCCATCAGCTCACCCCTATGTCTACACCTCACGAGGCGACGCTGAGAATGCATGTCTGACAGCTGGTTTTAAGGGCCTCTGTGCCAAGGACCAGATTGCAGGCTTCAGCAGGTGTGCAGCGGGCTGGACCAGCGACTGGAAAGGTTACTGGTTCCACAAGACTCACAAAGGTTGTGGGAATGGTGTTGGTTTCCGCGGGTGGTCAGGATCGAAGATTGGGGCATACTGCTGCGGCACCCGGCAAATCCCACAAATCAAGTATATCGGGGACTTGGATAACACGGAGAAGCATCCCTATGTCTACGCCAACAGAGACGATGCAAACACAGCCTGCAAGTCAGCTGGCTATCAAGGTCTTTGCACCAAAGCGCAGATCTCAGGATTCGAGAGATGTGCTGCCGGTTGGCTGTGGGACTTCAAAGGATACTGGATGCTCAACGCCCGAAAGGGTTGTGGCAGTGGCACCGGGTACCAAACATGGGGTGACGGCAAAGTTGGCGCCTATTGCTGCCATGCCAAGTCGGAGATCGACTACATCGGGTCCCTGACCGACCCAAAAGCTCACCCCTATGTCTACACCTCACGAGGCGACGCTGAGAATGCATGCAAAACAGCTGGTTTTAAGGGCCTCTGTGCCAAGGACCAGATTGCAGGCTTCAGCAGGTGCGCAGCGGGCTGGACCAGCGACTGGAAAGGTTACTGGTTCCACAAGACTCACAAAGGTTGTGGGAATGGTGTTGGTTTCCGCGGGTGGTCAGGATCGAAGATTGGGGCATACTGCTGCGGCACCCGGCAAATCCCACAAATCAAGTATATCGGGGACTTGGATAACACGGAGAAGCATCCCTATGTCTACGCCAACAGAGACGATGCAAACACAGCCTGCAAGTCAGCTGGCTATCAAGGTCTTTGCACCAAAGCGCAGATCTCAGGATTCGAGAGATGTGCTGCCGGTTGGCTGTGGGACTTCAAAGGATACTGGATGCTCAACGCCCGAAAGGGTTGTGGCAGTGGCACCGGGTACCAAACATGGGGTGACGGCAAAGTTGGCGCCTATTGCTGCCATGCCAAGTCGGAGATCGACTACATCGGGTCCCTGACCGACCCAAAAGCTCACCCCTATGTCTACACCTCACGAGGCGACGCTGAGAATGCATGCAAAACAGCTGGTTTTAAGGGCCTCTGTGCCAAGGACCAGATTGCAGGCTTCAGCAGGTGCGCAGCGGGCTGGACCAGCGACTGGAAAGGTTACTGGTTCCACAAGACTCACAAAGGTTGTGGGAATGGTGTTGGTTTCCGCGGGTGGTCAGGATCGAAGATTGGGGCATACTGCTGCGGCTTTGCATCCAAGAGCGCCGGGAAGTACATCGGCTCTGTGGCAGACCCGTCCTTGCACCCCTATGTGTACGGCACCCGTTCAGAGGCTCAGGGAGGCTGCGAGGCTGCAGGGTACAAACGCCTTTGCTATCAATCCGAAATCGAAGGTGCCTCTAAGTGCGCCGCTGGCTGGTTCCTGGATGGTAAGGGGTACTGGTGCCTCAGCTACTATTCGAAGTTTGTTTCGACCTGTTTGGCATGCGTACCCAGGGCCCCAGAATGGAGCCCCAATGTGTTTCGTCAGAAGAGACTGAGGTTTCATAAGACCCTAGCGGGATGCGGTCATGGACAGGGCTGGCGGCCTTGGTCAGCTGGTAAAGCAGGAGCCTATTGTTGCCAGTTGGAGAAGCCGAAGTCGATGCTACCCCTTTGCAAGGCACACGGGGAGATACAGGGATACAGGGAGGGCCAGGGAGGACCTTCTAGCGATTGAGCTTGGAATGAGAGTGATGCTGAAACGGGGGGGGGGGGGAAGGGAGGCGGTGCAGGGGGACCTAAAGTGCTTGACTAAAGAAGGACGCATTTCCCCTCCGCGAACAACAGAAACCCCAAGCCCGTTGCTGAGGCCCCCCCTGAGACGCCCCAATAACCCATTGAGATGCTTTGAGTTTGAGATCTCACTTCCTTTGGAACAAGAGGGGGGGGGGTGAGCTTGCTGCAGGGCAGCCTGCTGGCCAAGAAAGTCGGCTCTGACCACTGGCAATGCGACACCTTGGGCAACTGAGACGAAGTTATGTTGTAACCTTTTCAAAGCTGTTGCAATGGCAGGGAAGCTTTTGGCTTTGAATGCTTGCGAAAACGGTTTCTCTACATTTCGCTGAGTTGTGCTTATCCATAGAGAATCACCAGCTCAAAGTTGTGCAAGACCGCATTGGGCATTCACGATGCTACTCCCTCAATATGAAAGAGAGGCATAAAGTGGTGTGGGCGCAGGGAATCACTATGTCAAATGATACCATTTGCACGCGACGCGAGCCGTGCTCTGTGTGGAATAGCAAGATTTCTCGAAAAATGTCCAGAAGCAATAGTACTTTTACAAGTAAGTGTCCACACATCAGTCCATGGCCCCGTAGCAAAGTGAAGGGCCCTGCTGAACTTAGGCTTGGGTCAGGAGCTGCAGGTAGGGCGACGGGGTGTGCAGGGGATCACTTGACAAGCAGTCTACGTGAGTTGACCCGCAGAAGACGTTCCATGATGCAAAGCAAAGAATGTCAAGCTTACATCGTAGGAGGTGTACATTGCACAGGGATTCCCATGCATAGGTGCACTTCCTAGTTTGTTTTTGGGGAGCACTGAACCACTTCATGCTGAACAGAACAGTTACGTTACTCGTATGCATGCAGAAGAAAACTGTCCGCATTGCTCTGTTCTTGTTTTATGGTGTTTTATCTTGTTGCTGCTAGCTGCTAGTGCTGACACACACACCTGTGATTCTGGGGTCCAAGAGCGTTCCACCCTCCGTTCAACAACAGGGCGTGACGTCTCAGCGGCACAATCCCAGTGACACAGCAACCTGCAGCAAAGGCGGCGATCGCAGTGACAGTGCCGAGACCACGTGCTCGAGAAGCTACGACACCGATGGTGCGGGCATAAGCCACATGCAGTGTGAATCTTGGCAAGACAGATGTGCTTTTTTGACATGCCAGCTTGTGTTATGTCAGGGACTCATTGAACTCGAAGTCTTGTTGCGAGGCTGAGAGTTCCAGAATGTCCGTGAGCTTCATCCAGCCGTCTTCAAGAACTGAGTTCAAACTTCCCTCATAGGCTTCAAACAGAACATCACGTTCTTCAGCACACATCTTTTGAAGTTTTTTGCATGGGAACACAGTCTCAATCGCAATATCCATCCAACCACCCCAACTGTCGTCATCTCGGCCCAGTTATGGCCTTAGGACGTGCACGTGATCAACTCGAAGAAGTTCAACTGCCTCGCTTCCTCGAAGTGCAGAATCCTATAGGACAAAGGATCGGCACTCCTAGCTGTCCTAGCTGCTCTGCTATGAGAACGGTACGTCTTGTACAAAGAACATGTCACAAGCGCATTGGCAGCGGCGGCTGAGCAAAAGCCACGCAGAGAGGGCATTCAGAGTTTGCATTGTGCTTGTACGATATTGTGCGGTTTCCTGGACTGCTTGTGACGGAGATGCCATCCTCCTCAGGGGCAAGTTCATCATCAGCAAAGTAGCGCAGCAACCGACGCTTGTGTAGGTAAGGAGGAAGTCCCCAAGAAACCGGAGCCTCCCAGGTCTTTCAGAGCTTGTGTCCTGGCAGGCCATGGTCGAGAGGCCTTCCATGCAAGGGCCTCAGAAGTTTCCTGCTGCGCAGCCAGTTGCTATCAGCACTCGCGCATGCTGGTGGAAAGCACCTGCGGTATGGGAGTCCGCCGATTCCCGGGTTTCAGAGTATTTGGGTGCTTTCAGTTTCGGGAAGCGCCATTGGAGCCATGTGTTGGAGTCGCAGGTTTTCCGGAAAGAACGCACGCGGGTAGATTGCTCGTAGTTCATGCGCACTGGTCCACCAGTGCTGAGCTCCGAAGATCCTCCTGACCTGCACCAAAACACAACAGGGAAAGCTAAGATGCAAAATCCTACATATCCTCCAGCCGAAGTGTGGAAGCACAGAGCATGCGGAGCCAGGTTGTTGTGCAGCACGGGCACTGCTTGAATGGAGTAAGATACTCGTAGCTTTAGCTACAAGACGAGCTTAAGAAGCTAGCAGCGGCAGCACGTGGAAAGGAGCGAAGATACACAGATTCTTCAGGGGAAGAGCTTCTCTAAAGTAAGGTCCACATGACCAACTGAGCTCCAGGAGCGTGGGAAGCACTTGGCACATTGCAGTTGCGCACTGCGCACTGCACAGACTTCATGCCGCTTTTTGCATAAGGTTTTGTCACGCAGTGTGCATGTCCGAATTCGTGCAACCTTGGCAAGGGTACAGTGCATTCCGCACTACACGGCGGCACGTCTACCTTCTGTACATGTCCCAATTTGTCTGGTTCAGAGAGCGGTGCGAGAAAAGAAGGCTGCACGGGCGTAGGCCCGCAACGAGCCATTGGCAGCCTCGGTGGCTCCAAAAGGTTCTGTAGCTCTGTGAATTTGGAGGCAGCAGGAAGTTCTAAACCTGAAACCCCATCACGGTGCCAGGGGGCACAAACGGAGTCAGATGCCCTGCTGACGGACCCTGGCGGGGAATCCGGTTGACAAGGATACTTATGTGTCGTTGTTTTTCGCTGATCTGCATGAGTGTTTGGCTTAGAAGAATCTTGGAAGCCTCTGCGTCCTGACCGAACCGCCTCTTGCTTAGTTCGGCAATGCCTGTCACCATGGCTCGGCTTTCAATCATGATCGCGGCCATCCAGCAAAGCCTCGCTGACTCTGCGGATTTTGAATGCTTGCTACACACGAGGACCTTGCTTCGACTCGAGTTTGCCGAAGTGGAACTACGAAGTAGCCAAGTCCCTAAAGGACTGAAAGCCTAGAACGCTCCGCAAGGACTGAGAAGATCGAACGTTCGGGTCTTTCCAATCAGATCATGAAGCTGGCCGACTCTTTAGAGCCAAATGCAACGCAGGCCTTCCTGTTTGGGTTTAGGGCTGTGAATCTACCCTTGCATCTGAGGCGCCAAGTTCGGACTACAGTAGGAGAGCTGTAATGTGTGCATGCTTGGACCACTATGCTGTACTTTCCACAGGGCCCTTTGAGTCAAGCGAAATCAGCGCGCTACATAGCATCTACTCTGTTGCAGCCGCAAAGGGCCGGTGCAGGGTTTCAAATTGTTGTGCGTGATTTGTTAATGCGCGGCCATTGTGGGCTGCGTGTATCCGCCACAGGAATTCCTCCGCAGCTTTCGCATTTGCGGTGGCTGCAGCTCGGCAGCACCAAATCTTGAACCCTCCAGCACATCAATCAGACACTGTGTAGGTGCTGTGGCAGAGTACCTTGATAGCGGGTCGACGCAGGTGACCGAAGCACGAGTGGGTAAGGAGGTTTTGAAATCCAATCTAATGGATAATAAACCCCTAAACCCTAAACCTTAAAACTCTCAGCTTGGCTCAGTCGGAGAGGCACCCCTAAAGTGATGTTCGGAAGCTTTGAGGCAACAGCTGGAAGCGTTTTGGTGAAGCTAACGATGGTGGATACCTTACTTGCACAGACCACATGTTACATGGTGACGTGCAGGGTGCCTATTCCATGGGTGTTGAGATGCACGACCTTTGGTCCGAACACGTGTTCGAGATGTACGGTGCGCCTGTGTTCCAGTACGACTGCACAGTGGACCGTCCCGCAATGGCGTGTGCAGGCTGCGAATTCTTCCCGGCCTGCATCAAAGGAGAAAATAACCTCGGTGGCATTGCTGGCAAAACCAGTTGGACCTTGGAAGAGGCTGTGATCCAGTCAGGCCTGGCACAGGCGCCACCGAGATCTCTCCTGATGAAAATGGACATCGAGGGAGGTGAGTGGCCCGCTCTGGGCACGGCCAGTAATATGACATTGTCAAGGTTCCGGCAGATGTCGATCGAGTTCCACCACCTATCCCATGTGGCTCGTCATGAAGAGTTCTTGCAAACCATGCGTCGTTTGATCGGTGCAGGCTTCAAGGTGATCCACATTCACGGCAACAATTATGCGGGAATGTACACTTCCGGCCCCTTCTCAATCCCAGACGTCATCGAGGTCACCATGGATGCCAGTGCTTTCGATGAGCCTGCTTGTGTCCCGGAAGAGATGCGGCTTGACCTAGACGCTGCCAACAATGCGCTGGTTGCGGACCTCCCGGTGGCCCACGTGCCCGCGCTCTAGAGACTTAAGTAGGCAGTAGAAGGCTTACAGCCCAGTTCGCAGAGCATGTGGGGTGTTTTGCAAACATCGCCTTTGCTGCATAAACTTCATGTGGGTTTTTTTGCATGTCCATTGGTCAGCACTGGTCGTTCAAGCGCTCTCGCTAGGAACTCCACCAGGGTGTAGTCAAGACTGCCGTGATCTAGATGTTTTCAGCAATGCTAGGCAAAGGTTGCTGTCTGCAGGGGAGACCGCTTTGGTCATTAGGTGGAGGTATTGACCCAGATGGGCCAAGAGTGGGTTGCAGGGCGCATCCAAAGAAAGTGAAGACTGCTCTGTGTCTGGGGCTCCAGCAGCTAAGCTGGCAAGCCTGTTATGAGAAGGCGACGCAACAAAAAAGTGCTGGTGCCCTTTACAGATCAGGACGTGTGACTAGAGTAGAGCTGGTGATTTCTGTCATGACATCAGCCCCGCACTACTGGCGCGAAAAAAGACAGTGGTGCTTGAAGTTGCGCGTTCTTCGCTGAGTTTTTGCCGAGCGCAGAGCAGACCTTTTTACGTGAGCTCCGACACTCGGATGTTCACACGGTTTGTCATGTTGAAGTCTTCCTAGTTGAAGCGCTCTTGCCGGGGTGCCCTGATCCTTCTAGATGTTACCCGCAATGCTAGGCACTGGTTGCAAACTGCAGAGCCTGCTTTGGCCAGATACGTGGAGGTACTGCGCACCCAGAGAGTGGCTTCGAAAAATGTATTGCAGGGTGCAAAGAAAGTGAAGTCTGCTCTGTGTTCGGCGCCCTCCAGCAGCTAAGCTGGCCGTTTAAGAAGGCGACGCAACAAAAAGGTTCTGGTGTCCTTCACAGATTAGGACGTGTGGCTAGAGAAGAGGTGGTGACTCCTGTCATGACATCAGCCCCGCACCACTGTCGCGAAAAATGGCACTGTTGCTTGAAGTTGCGCGTTCTTCGGTGAGACGCGGGCGGCTCCCAGACAAGAGGTGCACGCATTTTTGCCGAGCGCAGAGCAGACTTGTGTGAGTGAGGATTTTCGCACGGTTTGTCGTGTTGAAGTTTTCTTCCTAGTTGAAGCGCTCTTGCTGGGAGCTCCCTTTGGTTTTAACCGCGGGGTCTAGTCAAAGACTGCCCCGATCTTTCTAGATGTTACCAGCAAACGCTAGGCAAAAGTTGTGGTCTGCAGAGGAGAGAATTTGTTGATGATTAATGGAAGGAAATAGATTTCTATTTATAGTTTTCTATATTTTAAGGGGCACCCATGGGCGGGCAGCGCAGGCGGAGTTTGCTGATGATGCCTATAATGGGGGAGAGCTGCGAGTTACTTTTTTTTGATTCTGGTAGCCTCCCAAATTTGAGCTCCACATTTGAATAAATGCATTCTGTATTTAGTAGTTGGCGAGGCCTTCAGGGACGAGATTTCCGAATTTCAAGTATTGGAAGATTGGATTGGAGTTGATTTGGATATATTCAAAATATTCGTCTATGATACAGAG